TCAGCAAAATAATCCAATATAGTCCAGTAGTCCATAATAGTAGTGGGATATCCATAGGACTGGCCATGTCACAAGCTATTGACTTGAGGATTTACATCTCAGCATATTTTAATATGGCTTTAATATTTACACCTTGTTTTCATACTTTTCTGCTGGATGATTAAGACCATGATAAAGCAAGACCTATATAACAAGAAATGCTACTTCTGCAACTGACAAGGTCAGTCAAATCCCCTCAGGATTTACCCTGAAATTCTGTGTACTGCAGTTTGTAGATCCTTTGTCTTGTCAGCCATGAGGATGAGTCACAGTCATTGATTGACCAATTTGCTCTCCATGAAAGCCTGAGAGAATGTTTTCTCTCTAGGTGACTCTTCTTAGTCACATTATACAGCATCAATCATGGCTCCATAATTTCCTTGATCAGAAAATTTGAGACACTATTGAGTTACAGGATTAAACCTGCTTTTTCTACACATTATATATGTCAGCAAATTCAGGCACAGAATAAGAGCCGTCTTCGTTATACTTTATTTCTTTTCCTTCAGAGGCAGCACTGTATGTGTGAGTCTGAACAGAGAAAGGGCATAACTGAGGATGGGTCTTAGCTACAATGCTGCTGTGAACTTGACACCTTCTGTGACACCAGACATATTTTTCCTGTCCCACACACAAAAGACCAGAAGAAGTCCCTGTGTTCAGCGTGTGCTTTGCCCACATTTCCTTTCCCATGACTCTGGAATTATCTCTCAGGTCATATTTTCATAATGAATGACTTTATCTAATTGCTGACTCAGAGTTACCTACTGTATTTCCCTCTGAAAATGCAATCTTTCTCCGCACTATTCCTACATCATTTAATAGATTCATCCCAAGTCATCCCAAGCTATCTACTTTTTCATTGTTAAAATTCATGGATGCATCTTACAACAGGAGGATGAGGTTCTGTATATTGGAAGTGCAAACCATATCAGTATTTAATTTGCTGTGTCTATGTGTAGAATTTGCATCTCCCGATCTTTCTATGATAAGCTAATGCATTGAATAAAACAAAACATAATTTTATCTGTTTTTAATCTTTTGGTTTTTTTGAGACAGGCTCTCACTATGCAGTTCAGGATAGTCTTAAACTCACACAACCCTTCTACTTCAACTTCCTGAATGCTGGAATATCAGGCATATGCCACTCATCCTGGCAACTCCAGAATTTAGAAAAAGCACATACAGAAGCAGAATTCCTTAGGGAATTGCTTAACTTTGATACACAAGAATAATTCTTTTGAAGTGTACTATACATGAGAAAAATCAATAGTGACTCTAATTCTCCATGTCATATTTTTCTTGTCTCTCATTGTTTATTTAGATATACTTAAGTGCCCATATATTGCACCTACAAGGGAGGGATAGTCTGAATTATTGGATTTCCATGCATTCACTGCCCAGTTAGACATGTGGCCACTTCATTTTGTACGCCAATGAAATCATAATTTTATTTTCTTCCCAGGGTCCATGGCTGTTTGATACAGAGTGTCATAGAAAGTATGGAAAAATTTGGGGGTGAGTATTCAGGAAACTTCCAATGGGTAAACTGGTGGGGGGATTCCTTGAAATGAGGAAAAACTAGGCAATAAGCTCTTAGGTTGAAGCTATCCATTGGGAGGGTTTAGGAATCTTATCCTACCAAGGACCAAGTCTTCAAATGCACAATATAATGAGGTTGAGACACTCTGAGTTTTTGCTTCTGTGATTCACCTATGTAAATATACAGATATTTTCTTCTCTACTTCATTCTTCTGGCTATGAGGTCAAGATGCAGGTCTTGCTTTAATCACTGTGTTCCCCTGTAGACTTGTGTCCTTAGTGATTTTGGAGTAGAGTGTGATTCCTTTGAAACCACTCTATCCTTTCAGAGATGCTGGAGGTTTAGAGAGATATGAAAGAAGTGTGATCATTGCATTTGCTACATAAGCACATGGGACGAAGCTTTCAATTTTCTTACTTCTTCTTATTCACTCCTGCTGATTTCACACAGACCATCATAAACTTGTGACACAATAGCAATAGATTACGATGTTGGATATTCACTGACACAACTCCCACTCTCTATGTGACTTTGGTTCTTATAAGAAATCTGACCTTTGTGGTTTTCTTTTATGTTTTATTTTAAAGAGAGACAAAAATAATGAAAAAGATACAGAAGTTTATATTAATTATATCACTTGGAATACTAAAATAATTAAAGTTTAAGTTTTGCTCATCATTGGAGAGTGAAATGAGAGTATTTCAAATAGTGTCAGTACTGAACTCCACCCAATCTTTTTTTAAAATTTATTTATTTTTCAACAAATAATACACTGCATATATTCTTCTTAGTGGTTAATTGCTGTACAAGATGCGGACTTGTGATCCTATTTACAAACACCATTAGAACAAATCATTCTATTCATTAACAGAATGTAACTATATATCTATCCCAACCACTTTGAATACGCAGATACAAAATGGACATTCATCTGTATACCCCATTTTTCTAAGTTCCGTTATTGAATATTATAGGTGTGTAAACTCAGCAAAATATTCTAAAAAAGTCCAGTAGCCCATAATAGCATTGGGTCTTCTGTTTAACTGGCAATGTCAGAAATTATTGACCTGAGTCCCCCACAGCTCAACTTAACAGCATGGCTTTATTTCTTATAATTTCGTCTTCATACTTTTCTGCTGGATGGTTAAGACCAAGGTAAAGCAGGACCTATGCAACAAGAGTTGTAGCTTATTGTATTTTTCTTTTTTCTTTTTTTTTTTTTTTTTTTTTTTTTTTGGCAGAACCGGGGATTGAACTCACAACCTTGCACTTGCCAGGGAAGCGCTTATTCCACTGAGCCATCTCCCCGGCCCCTAACTCCACCCAATCTTAACTCAGAAATAAACACAGGAAAAGCTTCATGTCAGCAATAACCATATCTATTCCATCTGAACTTAAACATATTGAAAAAATCATTTCAAAGTATGATGTTTTAAAAGTTATTTTGTCTTTAATGCCTATTCTTTACATGAGCTACATTGATTTTGGTTCTGTGAAGAGTTCATGGCCTCCAGTATTCACTAAGTCTAACTGAAAAAAGCAGTTCTTGATGTGTACAGTTTGTAAGACATAACCATTTTCATTATACAAGGATCAAAGTTCAGTGATTCCTGGGTAGGGGACAAGTTGTAAAGTCTGGCATATTATGTTGAATCAGCTCTGCTTTCTCCAAACAGGTCATATGAAGGTAGACAACCAATTTTATCAGTCACAGATCCAGATGTCATCAAAACAGTGCTTGTCAAAGAATTTTACTCTGTCTTCACCAACCATCGGGTAGGCATTCATATTCCAAAAGTGTAAACATCTATTAATTATTAAACATTGAATCTTAAATCATATTTTCATAGTGAGTTATGAAAACAATGAAAGGAAGTTTCCTTTATTCTGATTTTCCTATTGATAATGCCTTGCACATTTGTAACATTTTTTTGTCAATATGGTAAAAGGAGATTTTTGATTTTTGATTTTTGTTTTTTTATCTCTTTCCATAGTTTTATTGAGAAACAAATATCAATGAGACAGTTTCAAATCAAATTGGCAGGACAGTTTCAATAATTAACACATTGCATGCATTCTTCCTAGTGGTTAATTGCTGTACATGATGTGGACATGATATCTTATTTACAAACACCATTAGAACAAATCCCTCTATTCATTAAGAGAATGTAGCTATATATCTATCCTAATCACTTTGATTACACAGATGTAAAATGGACATTCATCTGTATCCCCCCTTTTTTTAAGTTCCATTCTTTGAATATTATAAGTGTGTAAACTCAGCAAAATATTCTAAAAGAGTTCAGTAGCCCGTAATAGTATTGGGTCTTCTACTTGATTGGTAATGTCAGAAATTGTTGACCTGAGTCTCCTACAGCTCAAAATAACAGCATGGCTTTACTTCTTATATTTTGTTTTTATACTTTTCTGCTGGATGGTTAAGACCAAGGTAAAGCAGGATTTATGCAATAAGAGTTGTAGTTTTTGGGTCTGATAAGGTCAGTGAAATCCCCTCAGGATTTATCCTGAGATCCTATACTTCAGATTGTAGAACCTTTGTCAGTGTCAGCCATGTAGATGAGTCACAGCCATTGCTTGGCCAGTGTGCTCTCTGTGAAAGCCTGAATGTTTTCTCTCCATGTGACTCTCCTTAGGCACACTTTACATCATCGATCACTTTCCTCTTTGGCCCCATAATCTCTAAAGGAGATTTTAAAAATTAATTGTATTGAGAAACAAATAGCAATGGGACAGTTTCAAAGCAGGTTAATAAGAGAGTTACAATAATTAATACATTGCATATTGTTATCTTCGTAATATTCATAGTACAAGATGCAGACATGATGTCCTGTCCCAACACTATTAGTAAAATCTTTTTTTTTCATTAAATTAAGAGAAAGAAGTTGCACTGGGGGGAAGGCTCAGCAGAATAAG